AGCACCCTCTGAGCGGGAGGGACCGGCCGGCGGACCCCGCGGCGCGTCCGTGCGAGCCTCCGGCTAATTGGGCGCGGGACCCTCCCAGGCGTGAAGGTGCGCCTGAAGAGTTCAGGGGACTCGCTTGCCGCCCCCGCCTCTGCCCAGCATCAGCTCAATTTCCCTTCCTCGGCAAGCCTGTGAGTTTTTAAAAGCACCGTTTTTTTGCCCGGGGAGGAGCTCTCTTCTTTCTTTTTTCTTCGTATTTTCCCCTTAACGCTTTGGACTTCAGGTATTTTACTGATTGCGTCTCCTTCTAGGTGACACCAGCAGCCGGCTTCAAATTCCACCGATAGTTAATGCAGCCTGGATCATCACATAATAAAACCAAGACCAGCGTATAATCATCTGAAGCCAGGCTGAAACTTTACAAACTCAAACCCAGAGAAGACTAGAACCAGGATGACTTGTCAGAATGCGTATTTCAACGCTCTCAAATTCCATGGCCATTTAGTTTGTCTGTTGCTTAACCGTGAGCTAGTTCAGTTATTTGGTGTTTCATAGAAGCCATCATACACACACTCTCTGCAAGGAAATTATTCTAATAAAATCATTTATGAAGCAAAAAGCAAGCAGTTCACCATTTTACTCGCAATCGGGTGGTACAGCGCGTGCAACTTTCTGTACTACACCTTCTCCTTTCAGTGCTAAGAAAATAATTTTATTAATATGAGTTCTAACTAATGCTTCCGACAGTTGTTTCACCAGTGTGCTCACCCTTCCCTTTCCCTGCTTCAAACTGACAGAAAGGTAATGGACTTATATGGGCAGGAGATGGGTTGAAACACAGATAAACCCTGGGAAATGCTGCCCTGAATTACAGAGCTACACCCATATAGATGCAGAGCTGCAATGAATTCAGTGGTATACTGCCAATCACATGGAAGTGCTAATATATGCCAAAAATCTTCAGTGCACAACTCCTAAACTGGTATAATAGGGGGATATGCAATGGCAGGTGGTGTTATAGAATCATCACAGAAAGAAGGAGAGAGGTTTGCTAATACAATATGCCCGTCCTTCATGCTGACAGGTGACGAGGGGTCAAGCTGCTAATGAAGGTCTGCTCCATTGCGGCTGGAGGCTCAGAAGGCAGCTGCTTGAAAACCTCTTTCTTCCTCCACGATGGTATATGGGCTGCTGCTTTTCAGGTTACTGCATGCACAAATTCTTCCAAATCCTCTGTGTAGTTCCTAAAGCACTGGAGAAAAATGAGGAAAGATGCCCCGAAAAACAGCCTTTTGATTATTCATGAAACATCTTGGTAAATGGAAAATTGTGCCTCCAACTCAAACTGAGGAGTGGATAGAAAGCAGGGTACCACAGCACAAGCTCATACTACAGGAGATCTGCATTTCCAGCAAACTCCCTTCAGCTACCCTCTGCAAGAGGTACATTTGTCAAAATTAATTTACAATATGCAAGACTCACTGGTTTGTCTCCCTGCTTATACCGGCCTTTCATGCATGTATATATTGCAGCGCTGCAATAGCTTCTCTCCTGTTCTGCAGTGCCATGTTACCCACGACCTGCCAAACTACATCTCCATCTTGGTGTTACACGTGTGCGTGGGAGTAGATAGCGGCAGGGAAGCAGAACGAGCCCCAGGGCAGGTCCCCCAGTCAGCTCCTGCCCTGTCTCACCCTGGGGTGCAGTGGTGTATGCACACATCGGACAGCGGCAAGGCCCAAATACAGCCTTCCTCAGTGATACGCAGGTTTTTAGTGCGAATTGCCAGAAAGCACTTCCATTTAACTAGATGCAGGCAAATGTGGTTTGGTATGTCTCCATTTTCCCAGTCTGATATTCTACTGCCTACTGTGGGGGCAGAGGGAAGGCCATAAGGAGGGCAGCTGCAAAAATCTGCATGTTTCCCTCTGAAGTAAATGCAAGCTAAATATACTTTGAGAGAGAGTTACTCTAAAATAGTAAATTAAAAGGCCTAAGTAAGAAATTCCAAACAAAAGAAAAACCTTTGAATGGTATTGAGTAAGTGAATAGAAAATTACTGGGCACAAAGTGGAAGGTAAGACAATTTTATGGGCTATGCTTTACTATGCAAGTAAGAAGTTAAATCACTTTTAAAAAAGTCATCTTCAACACAAAAAGGTGTATCTAGTTTTAAAATATTTGCCTGCCACAATTGTTGCCTTTTTTTTTTCTAAATCCCATAAACAAAATATTGTGAGTGACACAGAAAGAGGACACTTCTGCCCAGACAAAAGAATCAAATCAGCTAAAGTACCAATACTTAAAATCCAACCAAACAAAAAACCCCAACCAACCCCCTGCCCAAAACCCAAAGTCACTCCCCAAACCCAGTTATTTGGCTTTGCCTGCTTAAAACCAAGCAGCCAACACACCTGCCTTCCTGGGAGTGTTTCCCTCTCTAGTCAGTGAAATGGTTTTAAATGTCATATTCCAGTTGGGACTCTCTCCATATATTTATATATACGGACAACTCTCATACGTTCTCTTTTGCAGGAGGGAGGGTTCATGTAACCTAGAACAGCCTCTATCACTTTAATGTTTATTCTCAGAATACTGCTATTTATGACACTGCTTGTGAGAGTTGTGTGATTCAGTTATCAGCATAACTGAATTCATTTTCTTAAGGTCAATTGTCTTCTGTGGATATTAAGGTTTGAATAATATTGAAAGGGAGCTGGCAGGGGAAATTTCAGCATTTTGATTTTTGTACATCCTCAGAATTCAGTGCTACCACAATTTTTTAGATTTTTTTTTTTTTTTTTTTTAATCTCAATTAAGAGTATCTGGTAATCAATGGGAGCCAAATTTCATTAGAGAATTTTTGCTGTCCTAGCAATTCATATCTCAGTAGTTTTACAGTGGGTAGAAATAAACCTTTACCAACACTTTTCCTACACTGTTAATTCCCACCATCCTTTCTCAAAAAAGGCCTTCCAGAACTTAAGACAGGTTTGTAAATGTATTTTTATTATGTTGCAACAATCAAAATATATATGTACTACTGATTTTTTCCCCAAATATTAAATGAAAATGTAATACATTTTTGCCCACATTGTGTTCTTGAATGCTTTGGAATCTGTAAAGACCCTGACATAAAGAAACTGAAGCAACTGCACAATTAGAGACTGAAAGGTGTTATAGTGCTGCACTTACATTGCAAATGAAGTCAGATGTCTCTGTTTAATCAAATACAGCCTCAACAGTCTCTGTTTTGTGAGTATTAGAAACAATAAACAAATATACACAGAAAGCATCACAAACAGTAAATCGGTTATTTAAATACAACTGTATCCAACATAGCAGCTAAACACTGGACAATGTTTGAGGTCATCAGCACATCCACATGCTCTTCTAAATGACGTTTGGGGTCCTGAAATACATGAGAGAAATGACTGAAACACATCTCTGAAGGATTTCATTTACTTCAGGTCTATTTAAGACGACTGTAAGTTAAGGAACACAGGCCAGTAACGCTCCTTAATTTTTCATTCTAACAAGACCTAGCAAATGACTGAATTTCTATGAGTAAGATTTTATTAGTCCATACTATTACTCAGGTAAGTTGAGGACAGGTTTAGGAAGTAAATTTCTATCCAGCATCTGAAGAGTAACCATGACAGCTGTGAGTTTTAAGGACAACACACAATATGTGGAATTTATTGCATCTCACTAAGGCCAATATTTTAATCTTAGTTCTGGTACATTGCAATTTGTTTTCAGATCTTTGTACAAATGTGTGTTCTAATCCTGTAAAGACTCAAGCATGATCTAACACAGTCTTTGAATAGTTGACGGCAAGAAAATTAGCATATTTATACCCACAAAAAAATGAAAAAATGCACAATGCTATGTTCAAATGTTCTGAAAAAATTAATGTTAAGCCTAAGCAGCGTTCTGAAAATACACATCCCCACACACTATTACTCAATTGATGTAGGCATTTGTGGGCATCTGCATTATTTCTGGTTGAAAGCCATACTCATGCACTTCCTTAGTTTCAGAATTGAGACTAAGTAATTAATCTCCAAATACTGCAAAATTGTCAGGCACATTTAAAAAACATCTCTAAACTTTACTCTAGTATTATTGTAGCACTCTTGTGTGTGAAGAAATTAAAATATACAAGACAATCATGTGTGGGAATTTTAACTTTTTAAAAAAAGAATTAGTCAAAAATGTAATGAACTCATCTAAGTTTACATAAAAGTTTACTAGAAAATATGTGTTAAGCTGTCCTTCTTAAATAACTCATTTTCAAAGATCATACAGTTCTCCAATATTCTCTCTGTTCCTAGCAAATTATGCAGCCTAATAATGTAATATCCCTATTGTGAGCAGCTGTTTGTTTACAAAGCTTTTTATATAAGTTGCATAAAAAAACCACATGGAAATTACTTAACTGAACCATTTTGTAATTTAAAGAAAATGTAATAATTTTACCAGGAAAAAATATCTTTTCTTTTTAAAGAACTGTATAAAAATAGTTTTTTGGGTTTTTTTAGGTATGCATAATGATTTAAACAACTCGTGAAGCTCAAGTTCTGTTTGAGATAACATCATAATCCTTAAGATACAACCCTTCTTACATGTTTTATTTTATATATGTATTTATGTATGTGTAGGTGTGCATAAACTCCATTGTTCTGAATGCTACAGAAATACACGAGTGACTGAACAATAGGGCAGATGTGTTATGACATAGCTGCTAGAAGCTGACACATAAGAGCAATCCAGAATCCTTTAAATTCTTCTACTGCTACTAGAAATACAATAAATACTGGTTCTTTCAGGACACACTGGATATTTTTAAAGCTATTTCTTGTTTCCATTCCCTTCCTGAATTTGAACACAACCTCTTACAAACTTGTTTTTCTCTCCTCTCCCTCACCAAAGCACGTTTCCTCAACCTTTATGTTGAAATCAAACGTAGAAATAGTTTTCTGTCGAGTCTTCTATAAAGACATTATATCCTGACATTGCAAAGGGACAGAATGAATTGAGTAGGTGTTTTCAGTTTCAGCTATGGTCCTAAACTGTCTTCCTTCAACAGCAATACAAAGCAATGCAGCTTACTTGCATATGTGTGTATTGGAACTAAGCACTGACTGTGTTCATGAACTGAGGATAGGGGTGAGCTGGCTCTTCAGCCATGATAATGTATAAACAACACTTAAAAGTCTCCACAGTTTTGGCCTCTCTGACATAGACTTGCATATCTTTATGCCTCTTCTTGGAAAGAAGTTTAAAAAAAAAAAAAGAAAAAAATTTACCAAATCTCAACACTGCTCCTCAGCATGTAATACAAATGCAGGTAGAAAACGACTTGCAGATATTCTGCTGGTCACCTATAGTCAAAAAGCCTTGTTCCTTACACAACAATCTTCAACAAAAATAAATTCATTATTTGGAGCGTTGAGAATATCTTGCACGTAGAACTAAAATCACCTACGCATGTGTAAAAAAAATTAATATTTAGAATGAACGAAGCATATCATTCCACCTCACTCTAATTCATCACACCTCACCTGCTTGCCAACATTTTTTATTGCCAGCTGTTCAGGTGTCATCTTATCTTCTTCTTCAACAGCCTGTGAAAGAAACACAGAAAAGGTCAGTGTTTCAGATTTCATTTACTTTTTCCCCAAGCCACAAGATTCTCAAAATATAATTCTCTTTCTCAAAAAAAAAGAAAAAAAGAAAAAAAATCAAACAGCAACACATTTCAGAAAGTCAAAAGGAAAGGTACTTCAGCTTTTCAGCAGAGGTGGTTTTAATTACTAAGTGTTAGTGCAAAAGATCAAGGCAAATACTCATGCATGGTTTTCTTGCCAGATATTCACAAAACTATTTTTAAACAAAAATCTTAAATGAGCGGTATCAATAGTTAAAGACAGTTGAATATAGTTAAACTAGTAAAGCAGAACCAAAAATAACATTACCTACATTGTTTCAACTACTGGAGGTTTGATCTCAATAAATTTTTATACTGTTTAAAGTCACATCTTAATACATTTTTATAGTGTTCTGTTGTCTTACAACAGTATCTTTATAAAGTAAATTCACTAACTTAACTAGCGAATATAATATTGAATTTTGTTTTTAAGTACTCCTAAGAAGTTAAAAAAATAGCACTCATCAAGAATGACTGGCATGCTTACTACTCATAGATTGCCTGTTGAGATCTAGTATTTATAAAAAATATTTCTAAGTGTAAGTGCCAGTATTAAAACAGTACAAATAACTGTGATTCCTCTTTCTTACAACACCAATAATAGTTTCTTTATCTAAAAAGAACATTGAATTGGGCTCTAGAATCTGTTCTAAATACTTACTATCTATCTACTGGAATGATACAGATAAATAACCTTTATTCTGCTATCCTGGTCAAGTAGTCCTTAACTGAAGGAACGAAGAATACAATCAACTGCTTATTTTGATCTACCGGAATCTTATATTCTCTTCACTAAGTAAAAATACAAAGTTTATCTGATTACTCACATTTCAAAGCAAAACATGTAATTAAACTCTTTGCTAGTTTAAGGCAAAAAGTCAGGTGGCAAAGCCTGAAGAGCTAACAGGCAACTTCACATAGAAATGATACATAGTTGATTAATAAGAAATACAGTCTCCACAAGGCCATTAAAGCCACACTTGTGCCTAATTTAACGAAATCCCAAGAAACTCTTTGCTGAAAACAGATTATACGATCAAATAACCACCAAAGTCCAAAAGAGTTCCTGCAACAATTATTTAGTTCTTATAGTCTAGTCCTTTACAAGTCATTCTGAATAAAGCTTGTGATAATCAACCTCTTACTTCTAAAATTAAGTAATAAATTTCTTCACTTCATAAACACAGCTGCAGTTACACTACCATTATGGGATATGAATACCTTGTTGTAATTCTTAGCTAATTCTAACATCTCCTTCACTACTGTTTCATTGAGTTTGCAATGTTCACTGTAGTCCTGAAGCGTCAAACCTTCCATCCAACTCTTCTTATGCAAATTTAGCAACATCTGAAAAACAAAACCTCTTCAGAACATGCATCGTAAAATGCATTCATAATACTGTGAAGATCTCTCTGACAGAAAAACAATTTATAATAGTAAGAATGTAATAAAAAAATTATTGACCTTACAATGTTTAAATACAGGAAATACAATAATCAATTATTCTGCTAGAACAGACGATAGATTTTGCATAAGTTTTTACGGATCAAACTTCTTGAACCCTAAATATGAAAATGAGGCATGGAAACCAGGGTCACATTTACTTTGACAGGAATACTTAGGTTTTTCTTTTGTAATTTTTTATTTTTGCTGTAGATGGAGAATGCACAATTGCATTGTAGGACAGCTAACAGAAAGGCGAATATTTTAGCTGCCGAATAAGGAATGGTTGAAGCTTCTGGCCTCTGATGAAGTTGAAAAATATTTTAATGCTTGGATTAAATGTATGAAGTAGTTATTTAGGCTTCACTGATTATCCTGAACTGTATGCAAGCAGCTGCCACTGTTGTGATGAAGTGAACTTCAAAAGCAACCAAAGCATGACTTGTGTGCATTTGTCCTCTTACAAAGTAAACAGCCTTAAACACAACAGGATAAAGTGATGTAGAGTTTTGATGGTTATAAACAGGGACTATTAGAAATACATGAAATGTTTTACTTGACACTCTGATGTCATTCTTGAAAGAGTGAAGGAATAGCTACAAAGGCAATTTCCTGATTTTCATGAATAAAGAAAGCATATTTTGTGGATCTTCTGCACACTTGAGGACTGTAGGGAGGACCCTTTCAGCAAACAGTTTCAGCTTGCCTTCAATTTGTGAACATTTACTACAGACATCTTTGAGAACCCGTAAGCCCTGTAATTGCTATCACCTGAATAAAAGTGCCTGTTTCATCCTATGTACATCTTCCAAAGAAACCTGGCTTTGGAACATATGAACTGAGTTGAAACTGTGTGTCATAATTTGTATTAGCAAGATCTTAGTTACTAACAGAAGGAGTTGTAGGCAAACTGCATATGGACCGTTTCACTAGGCTATCTGGATTTTAAAATTATGGTTTGGTGTGATAGGCTCCTCATCTAATACATGAAGCATGTACTCTTCTTACCACAGATGGAGATAACAGATCACCACCACCACGAGGAGGGGTTGAGATATGTATGAACCTGCCTTATGAAAGATGTGTGGAGATAGTTGCTGCCTCACAGATTAAAGTTTCCCTAACTCGGTCAAGATTATTCTCCTACTTACAAAGGTAACAATTTACATATGTAAAGCCATTAAAGAAAATACACACTTGGAACTTCAGAAAAGACTGGATTGGCCACACTGTTGTATTTGAACGGAAACAATAATCTCCAGAAGCTTCTCGGACATTTCCTGAGAGTGCTGGTTTTGTTGAATTGGTAACTCTTTTCAGTAACACTGAGTTCTTGAAAGTCTGATACCATCCTAAAAAGGGTTATGCATTTCGCAAATTCTTTTCAGCTGCCTGATTTGCACGCATAGTCTTCCATTATTCAAAAAAATTTTTTTAATTACTTATAGCCCTCTAAAAGTCAAAATTAAGTGAGAAAACTATTCTGACCATTTCATCATAAACTCCAACTCGGAGATCAATTTATAACCCTAACAAGGCCATGAACATACATAGGCATAACTGAGGACAGAATCTGGCTTTTCAAGGATTAACTTCTGCAGATGATAAATAAGCTTTTTTTTTTTTTCTGTTTGTTTTCCTTGGGGAGCTCCACTCATACTAACTGGAAGCACCTTCTGTCAAAGTGATTATAGCCAATAAAAAACTGAGATTCCTTGGTTATACAATTCCGGTTTGGAAAATATGGTCTTCTAGCTTCAGGAATTCCAGCCTGTGAAAACCTAAGGCAGCTAGTACATCTTTCAGCTTCATCACTGAAAACTTGAAACTTTGCACAAACCTGTTAAGTGCAGAGAACAGCACGAGGACTTTCCATAAAACATGTGGACAAAAATGTTGTCAAACTATTTATATGAATATTAGAATGTGGTTTTGGAAGGTTTCATCATCATGATTACACATCTAAGTGCTTTCTGGAAGAGAAGCCATCTACTCCAGGAGAGTTAAAACAACTACTGAAAGCATCAGCAGTTGAAATCAGAGTATTGCCACAAATCTTAAATAGTTTGTATAGTGTTCTTTGTCCTCTGAATAAAAGCTAAAACAATTACCTTCTGTTCTAGTTCATTCTTCCTGTAGTTGATGGTGATGGAATAGTAATGTCTGTTTAGTCCATGAATTAGTGCCTGTAAAATTCAGGGAAAAGTTTGCATAAAAATTACCCACCATTGAAATTAAGATATATTAGAAGGAAAGAGTTAATTTAAATACAGTCATCTTCAAACATCACTTAAATAAGAGAAAAACCACAAAGAAACAAATACACAGAGACTATAAGTAGGTATCAAGTAAATATACCTGTTCCTATTTCTCTTTCAGTGTTCGTTAACTGACAGTTATACTTTCTATTTCTAAACCATGGATTTTTTCACACAGTAACAACTTTCACAGGAAAAAGTGGTAACTGCCTGCAAACACTTGACCGATACATATGCACAAACATATTTCTCTCAAATCCTTCCTCTCTCAAGAAATTCAGTTATCACTTCTATTCAAATATAAGGCTCTTTCTGTTACAAACAAAAGAATGTTGGCTATCTATTTATTTACAACCACTGCCAACATTTCCAAGTTCATTCTCTAAGGTACAATACAAAGAAAGAGTAGCTGAAGCAGTGATTAAACATGTCAGGTATCAGTTAGACTATGTGCATCAAATTAACCTTGGATATTAAAGTTTTCTTTTTTAACTTCAAATGAAAAAAAAAAAGCCTTTCTCATTATAATTATGCCCTTTGCAAATTTGTCCTTAAACTTGTATGTCACAGTCTGGTCGACTGAGATTAGGTTAAGTGACACCTATATGCATGTATCTTCTATTTTGCTCACGTGCATTACAATTTTTTTTTTTGACATTTATGACTTAAGGGTGAGTTGGACTAATATTTGGGGGTGGAGGGAGTTAACAAAATTGTATGATAAATTCTCATCACAACTAAAATTGTCTATTTTTCAAATAAAATTTTACATATGAAGTATACATTTACAAATGAGATATGATAAATCATGCATAAAATATGCAGAATTAGTGGTAAATATTTCTTATGTTTCAATCATTCCACCTCTTTATGTTTAAATATATTCTTTAGAGCTATACAGAATGAATGTGTATTTGCATCTTATGCAACTTAATATTTCATCATTCCAAAATTACCTGTATGAAAACTCAGAATGTTCTCATAGATACATTTCAAACAGATTTCTTTTCCAAACACATATACAAACTACTTGAATGGTTACATTTACGAGAACCAGCAGTTACAGATAACCATTACTTGTGCCACTTTTTATAATTAAAATTGTAAAATACGGGTTTTATCATCAATAAAGTAATTTATGGTTGAAACTATTAGCAGTAAGTAGTTTCCACCGCCATTTTCTTATCCCACTCAAAATGATTGCATAGGAGGTTTTGGGGTTTGTGTTTAAACTCAGTTGTAGATATTTAGGGAATTTTCTAAAGCTCCTAAATTTGACAAACATCTTTGCCTTCCCCCACTATCCTCTCTTTTTCCTCTCCCCTTCCAAAATCACTCTTTAAAAGAGTGGACAAATGTAAAAAGTAAACAACTATTCCACTTCAAACCTGAACAACAGTTGTAGTTTAGCCACAGCAAAAGGTTACATTAAAACCCATAAAACACTTTAAAGCAAAACTTGTTCTTCGTGTGTTTTGTTTCAAATGGAAACCATCACTCCAACAAGCCTTACAAATTAGATGCACAAAGAGCAAGTAAAAAAGCTGTTGATAAGGAAACACAAGAAAAACCACAAAAAAAGGAATGAAGTCAAGTCAAGCCATGTACTATTCTTACTCCTGAGATTTTAAGGAATGTCTTAAAATCCCTGCTTCTAGCCCAGCTGAAATCAATATTAAGTTTGCTGCTGACCTCAACTGGGTCAGAATTTTATTCACAACCTTAGAATAAAAGCAAAACAACACTGCAAGAGCCCTTGCAGTTTTAAGAACAGAGTATCATTTTAAACTATGATTTTTAGCTTAACAGTGACATTTGCAACAGCCCACTGCCAACTTGCAAAAAACCAACACAAACAGAAAATACCCACTCTAACAATAGAAACCCAAAACTCCCATGGCCAAAATATGCCATGCTGTAGTGACAGTGATCTTAAAATAATGAAGTTGAACAATACTACAGGGTTTTACAAGGGAGATCATTACACACAGTCCAGAAAAGCCCAGTTAGAAAAGTCCTGAAACATGCTAGCATGGGCTTGCCTATATCCAATCAAGAGTATTAGTTGCTTATTTCATATGCATAGTTCGCAGTTTTTACCAATTCAAAAATAAAACATAAGACACAACCACCTCCTGAAGCAGGCACTCTTTAATTGTCTGATTTTTTTTGGCTAGCATTTTTATAAATAGTAAAGGGTTTCAATGCATTAGTAATAAAAACAACTGATCTTTTGAAAGATAGGCGTATGGTGATCTAGTAACTCCCAAAGGATGGCTCTCTTACAGCAGAAGTTTAGCCCTTATTTCAGTTCTACTATGACTAGTGTACGGTCTTTTTCTTGGACATTTATCTAGCAAATATTACTTTTATTGTTCAAGTAACGGATTAACAGAGCAGGAATTATGCTTCATGGTTGCAAGTACACATGCCTTTTAGAATGCATAGGAAGGGGAAAAAAGTTTTCTGGCGAGAAAAAAGGAAAAAACATTGAGGCAGAAGAATGACACAGATAAAAGCATTAATCACTCCAGAGGATACTTGTTTCAGGACAGAAGCTGTTTCTCAAAATAAAGGTTTGCTTCGTTGAAGACCAACATTTTTGTCTTACTAGTGACAGTCAACTTCAGAAATTGAATTTTTAATATTTAAGTTTCACAAATGCTTGCAAAGAAATGTAAGACAACATACTCAAAAGAAACATTACAGTTGAATCAAACAATCAAACATTCTATTTATCCATTGAATCTTCTACTCCACCATTTTTTCAGCAAATTACTGCATTATATAAATATCAGAGATTAATTATTTAAGACACAATACAAGGTTAAATCTAGATTACATATTAAGCAAGAACCTATATAAGCATACAGTAGGAAGACAAGATTATTAATGAAGAGGGAACTCTTTCCATAATTTGCTTCAGAATAATTTCTCTTTAGGAAAGCTGAGATGTTAATAAGCAGCAGTTTTTAAATTGCAGTACTGAAAACAGTACCTATCTTGCATCACATGGTATGACATCAATTGTCACTTTTAAAAGTTTGCATTTCCATAAATCTGTACTTTAACCTTTGCAGTATATACTTATACATGCATTCACACTTAGGTAGCTAATTTAGGGCTCAATTTTAAACTCTTCACATATATAACTCCATTGATGAATCACATCAATTATAAATGCATGCAGAAAAATGCTATAGAGAGAACAATAAACAATTTGTAGCTTACTGGTTTTAGGTACCTATCCTCAAAATTGCTGAATGTATCTTGCAATTTACAGGACTATCAACACTGGGTTTACCTGGATAGATGGCTTGTTTAAGTGACCCAGATTTGAAGTTGTTTGTCTTGGTTCATGTCCCAAGACCATCATATTAGCATTGATCAATCTGAAGGCATCAATAACAACCTGTAAAAACAAGATGTCAAGTCAATTCTTTTTAGAAAATGCAACTAATAGTGCCAAACAACAGTGGACAAGGCACAACCAACTCTCATCTGTTTTTGGCCTTTATCCAGAAAATCGTTTAATTATAATATTAATAAAAAAAAGCCTCCTGCTGACTATGCTATCAGCACACTACACTACCTTATATTGTCAGGTGACACCAATTATTACCTCTTCCATGGAGCTGTAAGTTTTATATACATGGTATCATCATATAACATTGAATTTTTATGTATGCTTACTCTAAGCTTCAAAGGTATGCATATGTTTGTCACCTAAATCTTATCCAATCAAAATGAGTGACAGAGAGAGACTAAAACTGAAAGTGAGCACAAGCTAAGGGACCGAGTCTAAAGCCCAGTCCTGTCACATCAATTATACTACCACAATACTTGAAATGACAACAAAATTATAGCCAGCAAGGAATTTGCCCCATGTATTCCCTTCTAGTCAGATGCTTTTTGCTTCTTGTGACTAAGAAAGGGTCTATAAACTGTCTGATGGATTAAAAAGTCCTTGTCAGTGTCATGCTCAGGAGTAGAAAATACAGTAAAAGAAAACCAAGGTCATTTATGATTTAAAGGTACACAGTAGGTAGTATTCAGTGCTATTTCATTGCAAATAAAGTAAAACCATCACTGATTTTCACACTGTCCTGTGCTGAATTTGTCTATGAAAATCTTTGGAAATAGGATTTCGTGGCCCCATACAATAAAACCCACACCCCTATCCCATGTGCAATTAAACAGAACTGAGAACATACCAACAATATGCTCAAACCCACTCGCCATTACAGATTCGTAATTGCAAGATAGGCTTTCTCGTTTAGGCCCCAGTCTTTTAACTGGACCAGTGCACATACAGCCTTGTACATCCACAGAAATAGCACCAGGCATACTTTGCAGGCATCTTGTCTGCATATGTTTGAGGAGTTATTCTAGTTCATTAAACAAAATAGTTTAAATCTCCTTTTAACAGCTTTTCTACAATCATTTTTATTCTCTTCCTCCCCATACTATGGGTTGGACACACATACATTTATATGGCTGGTTTGATATTTTGAGGAATTAGACCTGAACCAAATCTTTCATGTTGAACAAAAAAGAAATCAACCGCTGTCACTGAAAGTCTGCAGAGAAAGCAACATCAAGTCTCCCACCTTGTTCTAGCATTTTCCTCTCCATTTACACAAATATTAATAACTAAATACATATGCAATTTATTAGGAGTACAATACAAATTGACATTGAGGTCATTCATGTGGAAACAAAATTAATTGGCAAGTATTTATAACAAAAAATATTTATCAAAGTGTGAACTGAAAAAGCCTAATAACTTATCACCTGTTGTATTTACTTTTGAGACCCAACTATTTCAGTCATGTTGAGTGCCTCAGTGCCACTAAGGGCTATTGCCTGGACTCTCAGCTGACTGGCCAGATCCATCTGCATATGTCATGTCTTAAAACTGCATGCAAAAATGTACCAAAAAAAAAAAAATCTTCTTTATTAAAAATGTTAGGTTGTGACACAATTAAAGTGAGTTAACAGTGACAATTTTTTCTGAACAATAATAGAAACAAAATACAGTTCAGATTCAATATGCCGCATAAGCATGCCATCTGATACTAATGCTACAAAAAAGGATATAAATTTAAAAAACTTACTTCTCAGAAAGATCTGAAACAGTTTCTATATCTACCTATACATTCTTTGTGGTAACATACAAAATAATTATTTTTTTTCCTTTTTTATCACTACCAGATTTTTCTCCATGTCAAAACACTTGTGACAAGCTTTTGTATATATCTCTTTGTGTTCTATTTTAGCCAGATGCTCTAATTTATGAACACCTGGAAATGCCCAACCATAACGAACAGGCAGAATATATTAAAAAGTCAAGCAAAGCAAAAAAATTCCACACCACAGGTTCTCCAGAGACTAGCTAGATAAGGGGAAAAAAACCCAAGCAAGTAAAAATTTACCCTGAGGAGCAAGAAACATGAACTTGGCAGTATACGATAATCACAAGGAGCTGCTTTATAACTTACTAACAGCCATGCTTCTAGATTTGAGTTTAACTGAGAACTTCACTAGACAATGTTGAGCTTATCCAAGAACGAATGGCATTGTCCAGCATGGATTTGTTTTGGGACTTGAGTCATGTAAAATAAAAAGAAAACCCAAAATAAAAATCTGACTAAACTTGGTTTTGATAACAAATTCAACATTTCAGTTGGTGTTCTCAAGGTTACACATGGATAAATTTCACATTAAAATATGAGAACTAGCTGCTAAAATATTTCTGAGTGATACTGAATATTACTCTAGCATCTTAATTCTGACCAGAAGTAATTTTTGTTATGTTTCAGGCACTACCTGCATGGGAAAGGACTGCCCGCTCTATCTGTCCTCCTGAAGGAATGAAATGCCAAGTATTTCCTAAGTAGAACAAATACCAATCTACAGAAAGTGGTATGAAATACTAAAATCACAAATCACAAAAATTAAGCTTTAAAAAGGGATAACATTGCAATTTCTACAATCTCAGCGGGGTACAAAAAGTACGCGTGTGAATGATATTTCTCATCTCAGTTGCACTTGTGACGACCGATGGTAACTAAATACTTTAACTACACTAAGATTAAAGGAATTTGCTGCTATCACTATAGCAACCATCTTAAAGAAACTAACATGCTCAACAACCTGGAAGCTAAATTTAGACCTAATACGCAATAAAAACATAAATACAACAATAAATCCTACATATTCATTTCTACGAAATGTAATTGCTTTTTTCACAGTGAGCACAAGTCAGTCCCTCCTTCAGAGGATTATATCAAAATAAATAGACTCATTAATGTCCAGTGTACTAATGAGTAATGGGTGAAGTAGGTGTTAATTATGCCACAGTAAGATTCAAGAAAAAAGCCCCGGTGAGCACTCGGAGGTGCGTACAAGCTGAAGTCTCCTCTCTACGTTTGTGTATTTTGAAGTACAGCATGATGCAATCAGATGACAGCAACATGGTCACCCCGTATTCTACGATGGCAACTTTAGACACAGTATTTTGAACAAAGAACCTCTAAGGATTAATTAAAAGCAGCACAAAACCCCACTCAGTTACTTAGATTTTTATTGTAAGAAGTGAGTATTTCTCATCCAAAATTTTTAAGCTTTCATTGTACTTAAATTACCTAATGCAGCGTGCACTGTTTTAGTAAAAACTACAGTTTCCAAGCTTTATGCTAAATTCCCTTTCTGTAAAAACACAAAAAAGTTAAACAAAAGTCTATGCCATTGGGCTATTTTCCAGAAATATGAAGGCAGAATTTTTTTTTTAAATGCACTTCCGTAGTGCAACTCTTTCACCACTCTGACCATTTAATTTTTCCTAGTACAAGTGTCTTCAGACTTTTCAGAGGTCATTTCAACAGCAGACAGCTTATAACAAAACCATTAGCAGTTTGGCTAGCTTAAGGAAACCTCTTACTTTCCTTTTTTGTTTATTATCACTGCATGAATCTGCAGCATATGAGAGTTTATAATTTCTCAGGCTTGTTAAATTCATGTTAAAGGTCTGTTTTCTTGTTGAATAAATTTTGTTCATATAATGCTGCCTATTTCATATACTGAGTCTTTAATAGCACCTTTGGTCTATGCGCAACTCACAGATCAAAACAGAGGACTAAAATAGGGGTTGATGATGCTATAAATGTCTTCTTGTTAGTAGCTTTAATATAATAGAAGACCTTGTCTGTTTTGTAATTAACACATCTTTACTGGAGAGATATTTGGAAGTGATTGCTGTGAATATACTGGTTAGTAAAATAAACACAATCACACACCACTTTCTGTTATCAGACAAATTTGTGAATTGTACACATTATACTCCAGATCAACAAACTGTGATATAACAGCCAAGTAGAAGACACATTTATATAACCCTTTATTTTTCTGAAAATATGTATTCAATCTGACCTTGCAAATATAATTAGCTTGTGGGATGTGTGGATTTCAGTACCATGGATGCTTTACTAATTGCAGCTCTTGGAAATAGATACTAAATATTTGGAAGCTGCCAATACAAAATAAAAACTGCATCTTTTTGTACATCTGTCTTAGCTTCAAAAAGCATAATAATCTAAAAAACAATAACTATACAGCATTTTTTAAGCATTTCCCCGGGGGTCAACAACCCACAGTAGAGCCCGCATAATGTATTTTTAGAAACAAAATTTACAATTATCTTCAGTGTACTTAATAAATTTGAGGATAGCTATAATTAACATGATTCATAGTTATTCACAATCTAAGATAACCGTTGGACTCCTCAGTTGCTAACTAGATAAAAATCTGGCCTTTTATAGTCTGCACATAGTTATTAAAAATCATGGCTTGATTAAAATTTAGGATGCTTAATAGCCAGACTTATTTTAGCTTCTTCTGAGAGTGTAAATGCCATATATATATATTACCACTTTTTCTAAAACTGTCTTCATAACTTTGTGGGGTATTTAAAAAAAAAAAAATTAAGATAATTTCAAGAATACTTTACACACTTGATTCTATTAAATCCCTCCAATAACAAATCTACAACCAATATTGAAAGAAACAGTCCTGTTTTGCAAGACCCACTATATATTAATGGTAAACTTCAGTTAGAAATAAGTCAGCCTTTTTTGTTTAAATTAAAAAAAAATTTCCAACATCAGTATTTTTTCCAGTGAAGAATCTATGACATATGGTGACTATCTTTAAAAATGTATTGTGCCCTTGGAATTCAAATACCGATGTATTGTTTATGCCATATGTTTATGAACAAACATACCAGTGCTTAAAGACAACTCTGAGAAGGATATAATATGCCAGGTGTGGAAAAAGAAGTAATGTCCCATCTAAAATCTCTTTTATCACCTGCAACTGACCTGTTATCAACTGCTTAGTTTGTTTCTAGATTCT